CTCCCTCCCTCCCTCCCTCCCTCTCTCCCCACTCACTTCCCCTCCAGGCACACTGGGGTGACCCTCTAGGCTACAGAGCCTTAAGTCCTTTGGGTGGTCGCTGTCTGGGCCTCTGAAGGAGGTGGGGTGTCTGTGCTCACTGGGCACCAGTGAAGGGGGGGCGGGGGGCTCCTGAGTTGAGCAGAGCAGCCTCTGAAACTCCAGTCCTGAGGGGCTGTGTATGGTGTCGAGTGACCCCAGCTTGTGACAGATTAGCTGCAGAGTGCATCTGAGCCGCTGTCTCTGCCAGGCTCCCCCAGGGCAGGTACAAGGGGCCCCACCTGCCCCTCACCACGCGAGCTGAGCTTCAGTTTTCCTGGCTGATGTGCTGTCTTCGGGGTTGTTGGGGGGTTCTGTGAAGAGTCCAGCACACGGGCCCCACTTGGGCAGGCCTGCCAGGCCGTCAGGTCTCATTCCTCCCACCTGTGGAATGGGCACAGGGGAGGCCTCAAATCTGGTTATTTGACCTTGAGCACAGCCTCCTTAGCCTTTGACCTTGAACATGGCCTCTACAGCCTCCAGCTGGGCCTCAGATGGTCTTCCCAGGGCCCCAGGTCAGGGGCAAAGCTGAGGTGGAAAGCGCTTGTCAAGTACAATCTGACCTCTTGTCCTTGGCTCACTGTCACCTCCTGTCATCCCACACTTGGGACCAGGCTGAGGCTGCCAGTCCCAGGGGATCTGTCCCCTCACTCCCGCCACGCCCGCCCCCAGCCAGCTCCCTGGGCCTGGCCACTGCACCTGGCCCGGGGCCCCAGCCCAGGGCTCAGCCCGCTCAGGCCTTGCCTGCTGCTCTGTCAGGAGCAGTCTGCTGCCTTCTCCGGCCTCATGCTCAGCAAGGCCGAGTAGCTTCCTTCCCTTTCTACCTGCACATCTCCTTCTTGGCCTCCTTTTTGGGCTCACTTCCTTGCTGTGGGAGGCTGGATGGCCGGGGGCTCAGGGCCTACGGCTGCCTGGTTCAAATCACAGCTCCAGCCCCTCCTGGCCACACGTGGACTCAGGGAGAGACCTAGAATAGTGTCCAGCATGGCACCGAGTGGGCAGAAGCATGGGATTGGTGGGGGCCTGGCACTTGTGGCCTGAGGGCCAGGCTGAGGAGACCTGTCTGAGCACCAGGGTGGGCCTCAGTTTCCCCTTTTTTTTTGTTGGTCGTGGGGCTTGAACTCTGGGCTTGGGCGCTGTCCTGGTGCTCTTCAGCTCAAGGTGAGCGCTCTACCACTTGAGCCACAGCAATATTTCCGGTTTTCTAACGGTTTTTGGTGATAAGAGTCTCATGAACTTTCCTGCCCAGGCGGGCTTTGAACCATGATCCTCAGATCTCAGCCTCCTGAGTAGCTAGGATTACAGGCGTGAGGCACTGGTGCCCGGCTATTTTCCCCATCTTGTAAGTGAGGACATGGCCCAGTGGCAGCGCAGCCTCATGCCTCTTCTCCTCGTCCCCCCTCCCCCCCAGCCAAGGACTACGAGAACGCCATCAAGTTCTACAGCCAGGCCATCGAGCTGAACCCCAGCAATGCCATCTACTATGGCAACCGCAGCCTGGCCTACCTGCGCACCGAGTGCTATGGCTACGCACTGGGTGACGCCACGCGGGCCGTGGAGATTGACAAGAAGTACATCAAGGGCTACTACCGCCGGGCTGCCAGCAACATGGCCCTGGGCAAGTTCCGGGCTGCCCTGCGTGACTACGAGACGGTGAGTGGGTCTGATGGACCCTGGGCGGGGCCTCTCTGTGCCTCCAGGGATGCTGTGGGCACTAAATGAGCTGCTTAGAGCAACACTGGCACATGGGGTTCCAAGGTAATCAGCCATTGGTAATAAGGGTAGGGTTTGGGGGTTTTGGGTGCCAGTCCAGCTTGAACTCGGGACCAGGGCACAGTTCCTGAGCCTTTTTTGCTCAAGGCTAGCACTCTATCACTTGAGCCATGCCTCCACTTCCGGCTTTTTTTTTTGGGGGGTCTGGTCGTGGGACCTGAACTCTGGGCCTGGGCGCTGTCCCTCAGCTCTTCAGCTCAAGGC